TGGGTCCAGTTGAAGGAACTTGCAAGTTAAGGTTTTTGGTCTCAACACGGTACTATTTTAAGAATTTTTTTTTAAAATACTTTTTCATATAAATAATAAAAAAAAAAAAAAAAACACCTCTCCAAAGACCACGTGTATTTTACTGCACAGCAGTAGTAATGGATCTACTCTTCCCAACATTCCCCAGGAACAAATTGATGTTACAACAAGCAGCTTTTTATACTGCTAACTTTCCTCTCTTCCACTGGCCCCTACTTGAACCCCCAACCTATATTTGCCATTATAACAGATCAGTACAACAGTAGTTCTACTGTTGAAGATGCTTGGTCAATATCATGGAAATGAAATGCAGATAAATGAAAAATAAATGAACTCTGCTTCCAAGGTTAAGTGGCCTACACGGCTGTTCATTTAAAACTGGGCTGGCCAACCTGCACAGGTGGCACAGGCAACTTCTGTATGTTACATGATAGATCAGGGAAGGGGCAGGCAGCACAGCAGCAGATAGGGCAGAGCAGGGGATCAGGCAAGGAGCACAGGCAGGAAGCAGAAAGCAGAGAAGGAGTTTGGGCAGGGAGTACAGGGACGAAAGCAGAGTAGCAGACCAGGTAGAGGAAGCAGATCAGAGTGGTACTCAGGGAAGGTGCAGGCCTGACTTGTGGCACATCAACCAAAAAGACTGATCTCCACTGATTCAAACCAATTCTTCCAGATGCAGGATCCATCATGAGCCCTTACAGTGTTCTCGGTCACACTGTACCTATTCCAGTAGTGGGTTTCGAAGTAGCAGGACATAATTTTTAACAGCCGAGTAACCGTGATAGAGACCCTCTTTCGAATGCTGATCCAGTCATCCAGTTCAGAATACAAGGCCATGTTTCAGCTTTTGTTCCTGAATGGTGTTGAATAGGACTGGTTTTCTTCCTCACGCCCTGCATACTGGGTTCACCCATTCAGACCTACTCGTTGACATCGGTTTGGGAAGGATGACAAAGAGGGACAAAGTGTTAAACTGTCCTAAGCTAAGACGCATTTGTAAAAGAAATGTTGGGGGGTTTTCGGAAGGCAAAAAACGTAGATGTATTCAAGGCTGCAGATTAAGGAAACAAAAAGGCATCAAAGCAGAGTTTGGAGAGAAAAATGGGTTTTCCACTCCACAACATTTTTTGCAATGTCAAATAGTTGCCTATTCTGGCATTAGGATGAAAGCCAAAAGCAGAAAACCAGGGTAAGTGAAATATACATTTATAAACAGAAAGCCAAAATAAGTGAATATACTCAAGTTCCTGCTCTGCCTAATTTAGAAAAGGGACCTGAAGAAGCTCCATCTCCCAGATCCCGAAGTCAGTCTCCCAACTACCAGGCTCTTACAGGGAAACTCTCTCTGACTAGAAATTTCATCCTTGTACAAACTGCTACAACTTTCTACAGGACCATACAGTATTTTCCAACAGAAAACTGTTTTGATGTTTTGCATGTTTTATATATACACAGCATTCATGTTGTTTGTACATATTTATTTTCTTTTCTTTAAAAGCTTTTAAATAAAACAATATGTGGCAAGAAACCCAGGAACAGTTCACAAATCACCTTCATTCTTCTACAGCAGATCTACAAAGCACCAGTCCACTTGTTCCTTCACCTCTGTGAGGCTCCAACATAATCTCTGCTTATGACATCACACCTACCCATGGAGTCAGCCAAAAGAGGTACGATAAGTCTCATTCTTTTCCACTTTGCACATTTTTGCCATGTTTTAAATATTTGTGTTTTGGCAAATAAATATTAAAAAGAAAATCATAAAAATTGTGCAATACCAGGAAAAAAGGGACTTGTCTTACCCCCCATAGACAGGCTGCAGGTACAACTGATGCTGAACAGCAGGCGTGGTATCACTCGAAGAGTGCCTGTAGGTGCTTCGCACAGAGGGAGTTAGCAAGCCCATGGATCTTCACTTTGCAAACCTGATACAGAAGTAAGTTGTGAACATTAATGTGAAGAATGCCCTTTGGTTACTACTTTGTGGCCTGCAAGATACAGTGCTACTGGAGTGTTGGAGATGAATGTGGAAAAACTGACTCCAGATTAGCTTTCAACAAAATGTGCCCGAGATGTATCCGTTGTGCAAAAAACTTGTTAAAGTGCATTATAAAAGGTTTAATTTCACTTTACATTTATCACCTACATGCTTGCCCTTCTAAAATTTACTGTCATAAAACCAACGATCTTCAGAATATGTAGGGTGCAAGCCTGGCACTAAAATCAACAGCAAATTCCCCTTGACTATGGTGGTCTCAAATTTTCACTCTTTAAGAGCTGTAATTACAGAGCGTCAGAGCAGGCTTGATTAATCAAGTCTACTGGAGTGTGGTAATTACCGTGCTCCAGCAGACTCCAGTGTCTTGTATATCACTGTCCCCATGCTTCAAAATGGCAGCGGGGCACTTTAACAAGCTTTAGTTAAAGCGACCCTGACGCCATTTTTCAGCATGGGGACAGGGATACACAAGACACTCTGGGCACTTTAATAGAACGGCACTCAAAGCAACCCTAATTAAAGCATCCCCCACCCCCTGAAGCACATGTATAAATGCCCTAAGTGATCAGAGATGAGTCTGAAACTTCTGCAAAATTACATTCTGCTGCTGCTGTTTTAAATCACGCAGTGAAAACATATCCTTTAAAAAGTTTATTAGTTTTTAAGTTTGGTGTCTAAAATCCATACAGATGATTTACGGGCAATATCATTTCTCAAACGGGTATGTCCTAAATTGGAATCTATTCCTTGTATCCATCTCAGCGCACTTCATAACTGCCAAATTCCATCCCAATAAGCCTTTAAAGAAAAACCTCATAAAAATTTCAAGTTTTGCTGTTAGGTTTTAACATGCACATTTCCTTTGGACACTTTCTTTAGTCAGTGGCCTGCATTCTGGCAAGTCTGCAGTTGAAATGTCATACGTGGACAAACCCCAAGAGACAAAGCCTTTTCTTTCAGTTATCCCCATGCCTTTCCTCTTCCTGCTCAGTGGAGAAAGGAGCTGAGACACATGCAGAAACTAAAGTTGGCAATTCCTCAGGGACTGACTTCAGGGCTGGGAAAGAGATATGAGCAAAGTAAAGAGGGCTAAACACAAGGGAGCTCTCCCCCCGATGTAGACAGTATAATGCTGGATGTGCAATCTTTGAGAGAGCTGGATGACAGTATCTCTGACTACCTGGATGCCATGGCTACCAGTTTCATTCACCTGAGATTGGTGTCTCCTCTGGACATCTTCAAGTCTTTTCATGTGTTATTGTTTTACCTGTTTTGCTCTTCATACCATTCACCTTCACTCAGAAGATAATGTAAATCATGCAAATGTTTCTAAACTGGATGTTCACCATGCAGAGGACCAAACAGCAAAAGACGACCAAACAATGAAATGCCAGCTAAGTGTCCATCTCTTCTCCACTCTTACCTGAGATCACCCCGCTAAACCCACATTGAAGCACTGCCTCCAAAAAAAAAGTGAGATTGGTTACGCTCAATCCAATGAAAAATATTCCAATTCATCCCTCGCCAAAAAGAACAAGTGTGAGACAACTCTTGTCATTTTACTTATATACAATATTCCCTTACCCCCACCTGTCTGGTTTCGTTTAGTTGTAGACTGTAAGCTCTTTAATCTTCTTATGAATTTGGAAAGTGCTTAGCAGATTTTAGGTGCTCTAGCAGTACAAACAAATGAATGAGGTAATTGTGTGAGAAAAAATTGTGGGAAAGATTAAATATTTTGCCACTTCAGTTGACCAGAGTATGTACCGCTATATACCAAACTATGTAAATTAACTTTGGGAACTTTTTTGTTTTAGAAGTAGAAATTTTTTTTGCAAACTAGTAATCTGACTAGTGCTTGCAAAAAAAAAATAAGGCTAATTATTTTGACACCATCTCTTACGACAACACCCAAGTACCCAGTGTACCCAGAAATCACAAAGTCTAAAAGTAACAATCCTCATCTGCCCAACTGTTCTTCCTTTACAGTCTGGTTGCGTATACTACCCATTTTAGAGCAACTTACCTGAGCTGGCACAAATACCAAGTGGTGCTTCCAGGTACTTGTGACCTGACTACATGTAATGATAGCTAAGCCATCCCCAATTCTTACATCTTCCAAAAATTTGGAATCATGGCACTGGAACTGTGTCAGAGCCTAATATTACATGTTTTCTTTCCCCCCTCTTTTAAAAATAATTCAATACACGTCAATTCATACATCCCTGACCGAGAATAGGTTTCTAACTCACTCCATTTTACTAACTCACTCCATCCAAGGAAACTCAACAGGCCTACAATTCCCTGATCCTTCCCCGTTCATGCTCCTGTCATGAACATACTCACCTGTGCATGTTTCCATTGGTGGTAAAGGACTGTCCACATACTGAACATTTATAAGGTCTTTCACCTGAGTGGACAAGCATGTGGCGATCAAGGGAGCTTGCTGAGCTCAGAGACTTTCCACAGATGCTGCAGGAATGGTCTGCTCCTCCAGTGTCAGTGTTATGCTAAAGGAAGTAATGGATCGTTATTGAAGTAACCAGGAACTATTACAGAGAACTGTAACAGGTGAAAAGCAAGGTGCTGTTTGTTTTCTTTCTTTTTAAATTGCTGCTTAGCACAATACCTTATGTTAAAGTATGCTTTATATCAGGGGCAGGCAAAATATGGCCCGTGGGCTGGATCCAGTCTGCAAGGCAATTTCATCCGGCCCACAGCTGCCCACCAATTAACTGTACCCTGCCCAGCCCACACACTTCACTCCCCAGCCAGCATGCACAGCTTGCAAATGGGGCCACTGCTGTAGCTACCAAGGGACAGCTCAGCTTCTTTGGCCTCCAGTGGCTCCTCCTCGTGTTTCTACTGCAGCACTCACTCTGGGCAGCAGGTAGGGAAGCTGCAGCTGGGCAGAAGCATGGGGCTGGCAGGAGCATGGAGCCCATGCCCTGTGGGGTGGCAGATCCTGGGTTTGTGAGGTGTGAGGAAGGGTGGGGGCTGGCGGAGCCCCCCGTACATCCCCCCCCCATGGTGCACAGCCCCTGCTGCTGGCAGCAGCAGCTGTAGACATCAGGTCCTTAGGGTGCTCACAGCCCATGCAGACGCAACTTCTTGGTGGCGTGCAGCTCCAGCCAGTTCCAGGACCTGCACGTGGTGGCAAGGAGCGGAGTCAGGCCAGCCTGCCTCTATCTCACGGGGCTCACGTGTGGCTCCCAGGACTTGCATGCCACCAGGGGGAAGCAGGAAGTGGGGCTCCCCGTCACTTCTGGCACAGTCTCAGGATCCACACATGGCAGCAGGGAACAGGAAAGGCAGCATAGCACATCGCTTCCTACTGGTGGCATGCAGTTTCCAGGAGCTGCATGCAAGCCCTGCATGACAGAGGCGGGCTGGCCTGGCTCTACTCCTTGCTGCCACGTGCAGCTCTCAAAACTGGCTGGAGACACCTGCCATTGGGCAGCTGTGCCTAAGCAGGCCATGAGCACCCTGAGGGCCTGCCACCTGCTGCTGCTGGTGGCAGGGGCTGTACGCCATGGTGTGGGGAGCATGTGAGAGGGTCCCCACACCCCCTCCTTCTCTCACACCCCACAAACCTCACACCCCTCCCCACAATCCCCCCGTACACACACACACACACTCTCACACTATCCCACAAACAATATACAAGAGTAAGACTTTATTTTTGAGCTGTTATGCAATTATCTCTATATTTACTATGCAAACACACATAAATCAGGACAAAAATATTTTTTAAAATAAAATTAAAATAAGTTTTAGTAGATATTTGACTTTTAGTATACAATTTGGTTTTTTTCTGGTTCCAAGATGGCAACCCTCCCCCAAAAAGAGCATTTCCAGGAGCAAGGGATGGGACTTCTAGTGGCAAAGGTCAGGGGTTAGGGACAGGACTTCAGATCTCAATATGGCAAACAGGGGGCGGGGCACCAGCCAAGGGGCAGGGCTACCATTTTGACTCTCGACAGCTCACCAAAACTCATTAGGCAGCCCTCCAGCTGAAATAATTGCCCACCTCTGCCTTATATGCACTTGTCCTCAATTAATCCCTTAGCTACTACAAAAGTGTACTAGGGAGATCCAGCAAATGGATGCCTATTGTGATGCTCAATACATCCAGTATTTCTACAGTAGAGTATGATACAGGAGAGTGTAAGGGGATCCAACAGTAAAAAGTAAGTAACAAAGAATGGGTGGTTTGCAAGTGGGCTGGTCTAGGATGCAGGGAAGATGCAGTTTGAACTCTATGACAAAAAAACAACCATAAGCTTCAGAGATATCAACTGAAGTCTAAAATGACTACAAAAAAGAACTTGGAGTAATATTCTTCCTTTGGATGAACAATTGGGGCTTTGACACTATATATGCTAAAAAAGAAAAGAAAAAGAAAGAGAGAGAAAGCGTCTAAAAATCAATGATACAATTCTGAGAATTAAACTGTATTTAGGTATAAAATGAAAAAAACGAAGTGAATATTATTCAATGATCATGAGAAAGTAAACTATGCCCTCAGTGTCTGTTTGCTCCTTACAATGCAAAAAAGGGTCCAAGGTGTCTATGTATTTCTTTTCTTTTAAAAAAGAAAGAGGAGCAAGGGGAGGACATACCCCATCTTTACAGGATGGGTACTATTTTGCATGATTGTCCTGCCTCCTAAAGCTGCTGCACTCTGCAGAGGGCAAAAGCACTTCAATGCCAAACTGGCCTGATGGCTCTGGTGTTCATAGTCTTAAATTGCATGGACCCTGAAGGAAACTACGCTGAAACAAACTATAAGCAGGATGTGTCTGGGTGATGGAAGCAGGTTTCAGAACCCACAGGTTACTTTTAAGTTTCACAGAAGGAACAGAAAAGGAAATCTTTCATTATCTGACATATCATCAGTGGCCGGGAACAGGGGGGAAATGGAAATCCTAAAATATTTTTTCATTCTAAAGCCTTTACAAGTGTATACAAGGGCATGAAACATATAAGGAAGTGAACCGCAATTACAATAAAAGTCATCTATGTCTATGCAGGGAAATCTGTTAATTATTGAAAAATGCATATATTTCCAAGTCAGGGCATTCTTTAATATAAACATAATATTAAAATGAATGGTCTGCATACCTGACGAATGTGCATAGTTAGCTGATGCTGTGTAGTGCAAATCTTTTCACACAGGGGACAGGTATAGGAAGACTTCTCTTCTTTTGTTTCCTGGAAGAGGGAGAACATGGGTGGGGGGGGGGAGTATATGAGAAGGAGATCCACTGAAAAGCTATCACCACAGCTACTGCTGGGAACTGAAATCCTAAGCCACACAAGCTCAAAAGCATGAAAACAGCAAACTTGTATTTACCCAGTTATCATCCTGAAAAGATCCCCAAGGGAAGATTTAGCAGCTTTAGAATTTTAAAATATGGAGCACTTCCCCCATCACAAAATACAACAGCTGTTTCACAGTGTGCAGAAACTCTGTAACAGCAGTTTAGGACAGGAAGTGAAGATAATTATTGTGACAGGCTGAAATTGCCAGAAAGAATTAGGTGAGCAAAATGCCATTATCCAAACTGGAGTTTGGGCAGAATGAGAAGGTCAACATCACCAGTCTTTCAAAAAGGACCTGTGGCATCTTTAATGGGCATGAGTCATCAGGGCCCAGGTTTTACATCTCATCTGAATGACAGTGCAAAAGGCACCGTGCCCTCAACACTGTGCTGACATCCTGCTACACTGAGTCAGAGGGAGGAGCTGCACCTACTGAATCGCCCACACAACTTTCTACAGCATCCTGTGTTTCCCCTGGAAGCATCCCATTCAAACACAGGCCAGACCCAACCCTTTTAACCTTGCAAGATCTGATGAGATCATTGCCTTAAATAAGAGGTACTGACGCGGGAGAGAACATGACAAAAGGCAGGCAGCATGAGCCTGACTCGCCTTTCACACTGATGAGTAGTGACAGTAACCACTGTCGAGTCACCTAAGAACAGTGTGAACCAAGAGTTCAGTGCTATATTTTTAAGTATGCCCTTGAGACATCAAGTCACCCACTGGTTTTGCAGCCATGGGTGGAAAGAAGGAACTCTTGCCTGAAACCAGAGGCTGTAGTCTTGCCAACTGTGGCCATCTGACCCCAGCAATTTTTCCTGCCCAAGTGCAGGGGGGCTGGACCCAATGATCTTGTAAGGTCCCTTCCAGCCCCTAACATCTATGCATGTTTGAACATCAGAACCACCCATCCAAATGAAGAAAAAGAAAAGGTTCCAACATTTCCAACACACACGAGCAGACAGCCTGGCCACCTCCTGGGTAACTCCTGCAGAATTCAGAGATCACACCAGGAGTGTATGAGGGAAAGTCCTAGAGAACATTCCTTAGACACCTTTCTTCTAGGGAACTGTCCTATAAAGGAAGGCCCTTTTTTTTTTTTTTTTTTACTGAATTCAAATAACTTCTTGTAAAGTAGGGCTATCGTATTAATAAGGTTCAACAGGACTTTTCCATTTGGATGGGTGGCCTTTTTCACACCCCTTCGGCCTCAAACAAAACCACTAACCTCAAATCTAAAGCATGGGACTCCAGCCTGACTTGCAGCGGTTAGCCTTTTTGCCTTCTCTTGCATACAAAAAACCTCCCCCTGATTACAGTTCTACCACACAGCTCTCTATTCTCAAGTAGGTCTCACAACACTACATGAACACAGGCCAAGGCTTCATGCATTTATCATTCATAAAACATTAGAAGCCAAGTGAGAAAAATTGCCATTGTGAAACCTGACCATTCCTAAGAAAGCTGAACAAATATGTCTAGTCAAATAGATGTGCGCTCAAACTTCCTCTTAAAAAAAAAAAGAAAAGAAAAGAAAAGAAAATACAAAACACAATGTTTACACCCACCCCTTTCACTGATTTAACTTTATTGCACAGGACCAGTTTGTGAAGTACCCTTCAGCTCCAATTATACTGCAGCCCTGTTAAAGTTGGCTCAGAGCTGAGAGAACAAACACGCTGCGTTGTGAGGAAAATCCCTGCAGCTGTGCTGACAGTTTAGATGGTGTTTAATCCACAGGGTATTTCTGTGAAATTATCAGCCTACTTTCCCCCCCACCTCCTTTCGAATAAAGGATAGCAATCTAACATGATACAATTAATCGTTCTGAAGCCTGCTTTCTAGACTGCCTGCTCTTTGAATCAGCAAATTAACAAAGGATAGAGTAATTACTGGTTCACCTTGAAGCAAAGATCAGAAACACACTATAGCAGAGCCAGAGGTGATTAGTATTGACTTTGGAGTTTATCATTAACTAAAATCCAAACTTTCTCCCTGACTCGCAAAGGGTACAGGCTGCATACCACAAAATAGGTCACTTAAGTCGAGGGTGGCTGAAGGAGGAATTCAGCTGGCTGACCCACTCCAGATCAACAAAAAGAAAAAAAAAAAGGTTTAGCATCACTTCTGCAAAAGTAGCACCACTGAAGAATTTAGTACACAGCATTAATCTGCCTCGCTGGAGCCATGCTGGTGAAAGAGCACTTCCTGAACTGAAAGATAAAATTAGCAGCTAATTTGTTAACTGCTTTCTTTATTAAAGCAAACTGGCATGGCTCTTGTGCACTCTGCTGAGGGCAAAACTCTTCCGAGTTTCTACATCAGGTTTCCTTGTTCTTCTCTATCGAGCAGCCTGAAGCTTCTTTGTTGCATCTTCTCAGTTACTTTGGTCTTGAAGAAAAATTATAATGGATGCGAACTGATGCAAGTCCATGTTTACCAGTCTCTGGGTAGTTGGGAGCCAAGATAAAGGCAGCATCATAAAAAGAACCATAGACTTGGGACAAAGGTTAAGGGCAGAGGATTTCACTGTCATCTCATGGAACACAGTGATTCAGGCTCCTGAACAGAGCCAGGCAAACCTAACTATAGCGACACCATGATACAGCCATTTACCCCCTACTCTCCCTAAAAACAAATCATCTCTTTTTTTGGAAAAAAGAGAAAATTTAATTTATTTTTACATGGTAGAGAATCCCTCCTAATCCTACCATTTACTCTCAAGCTTCTCCTGATCTGATGCCCATCAAAATATCAGGTGGAATAAAGGTCAGCAACTCGGAACAGACTTCCTTGAAGCCAAACCAGACAGAATCCTAACAGACAAATAAAGAAAAATGGCAAAAAACCCCAAAAAACTAAGGTCCTTGAGAAGCAAATTTAAGTTCAGGCTTAACTTCAAGAAGATGGAGATATTCAGAGCTGGAGATATTCACACTGGTAGATATAC